GCATTAGTATAAATAACAAGCTAATGCGGCAAATGATATGGATTAGTCATATAAGAAGACAAATTATTTGAGATGACAAATTTAGAATGCTACTTGGGACGTCCAATACTACTTTTCTTGTTTTATAAAAGAGAAAGATGAGAAGTTATAAGAGAAATTAAAAATTAAAGTAGTTATTATTTGTGTCTGGTATGTTTGAAATTTGTTTAAAGAAAGGAGAGGTTTACTGGGTAGTACAAACAAGGGTATGTAGATTATTACAGAAAACTGATTGCTTTAATCGAGATTATATAAGATCACAAAATTTCTACACATTACAAAGGACCACTATCAAATGCAGTAGTAATACTTAAAAAGAAGTGCAATCGAAGTATCCAACCTCAAACATTGGGGCAGCAGTTGGGCTGCAATCAACAAATATAGCAACCTTCCCTTTATCAGGTTGCAACGAGCTTGGCTTTCCAAGTTCAGCCTGCAATTATATACAAATGGCAAGTTTCAAAAGAAACAACTACGAAAGTTTTACACAGATACAACAAAACTATTGACACGTAAAAAAGAAAAGAATTATATCCATATGTGCGACACTTGTCATTTTGACTTTAGGCCAAAAAAAGCACCTTGACACTAGCAATAACATCCGTCGCCCCTAACCTTACTCTTGCCGAACCATTTGCCTGTCGTGAAAAAATGTAAAATATAAAGCTTAAAAAACAGAACAGTTAAAAGAAGAAAATACACATTGAAAATTATGAACCTGAGGAATGACACCGGTTTCAACATAAATGGGTCTGTAAGTATGTCTCTTGCGACCATCGGAGCGGAGGTCTTGTGCAATTCCACCTTTAATAAATTCCTTTTCTCCCTCAGAAAGACCCACCATTCTATATATATATATATTAGCAGAAGTTCAGTCCAATTACGCATTTTCACAAACAGGAGGTGAGCATTTAGCAACCCAAACAAAAAAAAGGCAAAACAAAAATATTAAACGAGAAAAAGATACCCTTCCACACTCACATATGAAATTAACGCAGAGATTTTAAGATTAACTAGTTGTGCTTCTTCACCACTCAATTGCTGCACAGAGAGATTTTGGGGAATATGAGCTTTAATAACGCGGCTTTTTTTTATAAACTCAAACCGCTATTCCTTTCCGCTTTTTAGTTTTACAATATAAACACCTCGTGAACAATTTGTAGCCGTCCAGATGTGTAAAGTAAGATGACGTGGTGCACCAATGAACGGCTAACCTAAGAAAATTTAGAGAGTAAACCTATTCCCACCCAAGGTTTTCCTTAATGACTTTTGCGCCCAAAACGTTTCAAAACACCAAATTACCACCCACTTGTCAACTTCCGTTAGTAAATTTCGTCAAGTACAGTAATTATAACAGTAAAGACGGAAATGCTCTTAACTGTTGATAGGAATTGTTTTATTATTATTATATGTCCTGTCAACGCATTTAATTACCAATATACCCATTTTTAACTATGTAATTACCAACATACCCCCTTTTAGCTATGTAATTACCAATATATCCCCAACTATGTATAAAATTTAAATTACCAATTTGCCTCCGATGTTAAAAAACAATCAGTAACCGTTAAAATATTAAAATTTTGAAGTAATTAGTATTACCATTTTGCCCATGTGTTTGATGCAAAATAAATTGACTGAATTTTATCAATTAAAACCCGAGAGTGTAGATTCCAAAATCATAATGCCATCGCTTGAATTGATACCCAAAAAAGAGAAATTGGGAATGCAATTCAAATATGTTCAATCTGGGTAAATAAACCAACATAAGGGGAAGAGCAAAAAATAGAGTTAAAACTACTTCATTGTCATTGTAACAAATCTCATTCAAAAATATCAAAGCCAATTAATTGTCATTGTCACAATTCTCATTCAAAAATATCAAAACCAATTTAATCTCCATAGAGCAAAAATATGAGACTTTAATTCTGGTCATAAATCTATGATCAATAATATATACATAGAGTAAAAATATGACTAGTATACGATCTGTCCTAGGTGACCTGAAACATGAGACTCTGATTCTAGTGCTTCTTGAGTTCCTGTACTCCAAACCTTTGTTGATCTCCAAGAGTTATGACCTGAAACAAAGTAACTCAATGACTTCCTCTAAAAATGTCCACAAACTTATAATACATACAGGATACAAATAATTAGCCAGCTTTACACAAAAAAATTCTAAAAAGAACCAGTAAAAAAACAAGCTATTTTTCACTCAAAACCATCTCAAATTCACCTCAGAATGTCCACGAACTTATAATACATACATTATACAAATAATTAAATAGCTTTACAGAAGAAAAAAAATTCCAACAAAAACCAATAAAAAAACAAGCATTTTTCACTCCTTTGTCCCCTCAAATTCATCTCAGGATGTCCACAAACAATATTTTGTATGAAATAACAGTACTACTTGCATTTAAGATAGCGCAAATTGATATACCATCAAAAGAAAAATGATATTATCTATGTATACTGCCTATACAGCTGCAAAATCAAGAAATTCAATTGCAAACCATTAGTTAAAATTTCAGCAATATCATGCAACTAGCAGTGAACAATATTACCCAGAATTCATTCACATACATATGGAAGAATCACTACAAATTTCCTAGGCTCATAAAAGAGTTGAATATCAGCAATACAACAAAACAAGTGTAGAATGCAATCTATAGGAAATTGAAACATTACAACCATGTTAAAACATGAAGACAAAATTGAAACATAAGACACCCAAAATTAACCTAACCAAACCAAACCTAAGCCTAAGCTTTATCTCAGTCAACGCCTTCTTTTATGTTGGGGTTTATAAATACAGTTGAAAGAGAAACGTCTGAAGCAAATATCTGAATTTACTGTTGACTAAAATATTTTTTTTGCAATAAACTAATTTTTCTAAGACTTGCTTACAAGAATTGGTGTATATTGTTTCATTAGTTAATAATAACACATAGTGGTCTTACTGTAACCCAATAAGATTATTGAAACAGACAACACCCTCTTCTTTTTCTTTTTTGTTCGATCCTTTTATATGAATTTCTTTTATTTAAATGATTTTTTAAAATGTTAAAATACTTAAATTAAAAAAATAAAAATAAAGCAGCTCTAGAAAAACAAAAAAACAAAAGAAAGAAGCTTTACATATAGACAATTCTAAACAAGCTAAGCCTAATAAAAGTGCAGTAAATTAGCTTTAGAACTTGGAACATAATGCAAGCTAAAGCAACATAATTTATTCTAATACATGTGACTAGTCAAACTTCAAAAATCTACACATGCTAAAGACTTCAATAAACACTAAGTTGATTTTTTTGGGTAATGCTTATGAGAATTCTTAAAAATCCTTCACTTTGGTTTGAAGTATTGAAAGATGGGGACAAAATTTATCCCATAAAAAACTGTTTATTACTCTAAAAAGTTAAAAACACCTTCCTTAAACTCTCATGAAAACTAATTCTCAACACCAATTTTCAAGTACATTCAGAACCACAATTTTAACAATTAAAATCTAACTTCACAATTTTCAATAATTTCAATATGGATTAATGATTAATTGAATAAAAATTACCCATTGAATAAACAATGCTCCACTACTCTTTTTCCATTGTCAGATTTTTTTATAAAGCAGTGAAAGCACATACAATAACAACAACATACAAGATCACATTCAAACCATAAACATAAAGAATTAATTTATACATATATGCACATATTACAAATGCTCAAAAAAGGTACTACAAAAGACAAAGAAGGAGATACCCACATTATTAGGATGCCAGGCTTCTTCGGTCACACGCGAATTGTCTCTTCTTGATAAGTTCTGTGACCCACTTGCAGACAAAAATAACACTCAAATCATCAACCTTACCACAGTTACATAGATATTACCACAAAACAAAAAACACTTTTCTTTCCAACACAACCTATAGTAAACGAAAACAAAAAAAAGTATAAACAAAGATGACTACCTCCAAAAGTTCAAACACTCACACACTTAAACTTATCGTTGACAGTCTCAACGATTACGAACTTCAAAAGCCGCAACTCAGAAGATCAACTTGTCACTAGAAGTCGCGGAAAACCTCATCGTTCGCGGGTAAAAGTCATTGTCAACAACCCTTAACCCCTACCGTTAGCAATGTACACGAACGCCAAACTCGCCAATCGCTAGTCTACCTTACTGTTAACACTCACTGGTCGCCGTAAACAGTCACCAAAAAGGCAGTCGAAGATGTTAATTGAAAACCCAAGAGTCGCCGCTTCTAGAACACGCAAACATTGCGTTTCCTTTTCCTTTTCTTTCAAAGGTCATCAGCATTTCAGTTTCCTTTTCTTTCAAATGTCAACTCTCATGGACACTTGCCAATACCCCAACCTTGCACTTCAATTTCAAATTTTATTTTTTTATTAAAATATTATTTGATAATAATGCCCTTACTTTTACCCATCGTTTGACCATTATACCCTTTTACATTACAAAAACTACTAACAAAACTTTTTAGTGGGTGGCTATTTGGTGTTTTGAAACTTTTTGGGTGGGAAATTGTCATTAAGGCAAACCTTGGTTGGGAAATAATCGTTTATTGTAAGTCAGCAGTGTAGTGTATTGTTTTTGTTGGTTTGGTCACCTCATCACCTCTAGAAAGATCTAAATAAATGTGAGTTACTGTAAATTGAATCTTGCTTTATATATTTATTCTATTGAACTCACTACCATTTTTCAGGATTCAGGTTTCAGGATCTTTCTTTGCCTCCTAAACTCCAATATCATCTCCTATACTGCCATCATTTTCGTCCATTATTAATGGGTAATCTTTCTCTTTATATTAGGGTACGTGTCGCCTTTGCAGCCGTTAAGATTTCAAGTAAGCTGACTTGGTAAAAAATGAACGGCTAACATGCAAAGTTTCAAAATTGAGAAATATAAACGCGCAACACAGAAGCCAAACCAAAATTAAACACAATTCACTTTTATTCCAAAAAAAAAAAAAATCCTTATACCTCGCCCCGACCTCCTCTGACGGACTTCAAGAAAGTACCAGATTTCATGTCTCGGTTTCTTTTTTTCTTTTTCTTTTTTTAATAGTGGTCGAAGTGTTTGTGATTTTTTCGGTGTTTTTGTTTCTATTTTTTTGTGTTTTTGAAATCAGGTGATTCGGATAGATGGGTCGGTCTCGAGCAGTGTCCCATTATGCTGATGATGATCACAACCAAAAGTACGTATAATCCTTTTTCCTTTTTTAATTTAGTATCTTTTTTTTTAAAAAAAAAAAACTTATTGCGATTACTGAGAATTTGAGCAAATAGGTTTCTGAGAAAACAAAAGATTATGGGATTTTTTTTTTTTTTTTAAATGTATGTGTTGGGTAGATTTTTGTCGATAATTTTTTTTTTTTTTTTTTTTTAAATGTATGTGTTGGGTAGATTTTTGTCGATAATTTTAGAGAATTTAAGATGGGATATTGAATTTTGTTTCGAATGGTAACTTTTGATGTATTTGTTTATATTGTACTCTCTCATTTAGGTTTTCACTGTCTGCCTGATTTTTATCCAGAAACGCTTATTTAAATATATATGAATTGTGCTTCAACATGTTCGTTCTCTTGTGGTAATATTAAAGAGAATGATAACGTGGATGGATAGTTTGAACATTGTGGAGGAGAGATTTGATGACACGCCCATCTGTAACTGGAAATGCATGTTGAATTTCACACTTGCAGAATATCTGTTGTTATTCAATTCCTAATTGCATAGATTTATTATTATATTTTTTTAAAAGAGAGTTTAGGATTGTTAAGCATTTTTGTGGTTTTTCGATCTTCAAAGGGACAAGTTTGAAGTGTATATTAATGTTATAAAATCCAACTGTTGGTTGTTCACACTGATTCTTCTGTAAAAAGTTTTTTGAATGGTGTAATACATATAAATTTTGCATTGATTGAAGTGGATATTACTTGGTTTTTACCAATGATGTTATCTTTATTGTGGTCTGATGAGGAAATCCTGTTTTCATTTTCAGCAGATCCAAGAGAAAAAGGACCATTTCCAGCTTAGAGAACATAGAGACTGCATCTACAGGTATGTGGCATTATCTTGTAGCCATATTTTTTTTATTAATCCGTTGTAAGGAATTTGATAAAGGTTGTGGCATAGAGTTTAGTAAGTAAGTTTACACAGTGTATATGATGGTCCCAAATATTCTGTCTAATTTGTTTGCAGCTTATGAGTATTTTATTTTTGTACATTCCTTAACATTTTCTACGCTGTGCCCTGTTGGTCTGTCCCTCTGTAGCTCGGTTAACATAAGGGGTTCAATGGTAATAAAATTTTCTAAAATTGTAATATTCTTCTCTAAGTCCTAGTGTACTCTGGTTGTAACAATCTAGTGATCATTGTATCTATATATCTTGATTGTTTTATTCATTTCTAGTAACTCTATCTCTCCTACTGTGTCACAGGTCAACCATTTAGTGAAGGAAAAGGAGCATTATACCACTGTAATTATTGCAACAAAGATATCTCTGGGTTTGTTCGCATTAAGTGTGCTTTGTGTTCCGATTTTGACCTTTGCATAGAGTGCTTTTCTGTCGGTGCTGAAATTACTCCTCATAAAAGCAATCATCCGTACAGAGTTATGGTTAGTAACTCTATTCAAAGATTTTATTGGTCCTCTTATCATCTGTGTGTTGCAGGGTCATAGCTTGATTTCAGATGCTTGATGATATGTAAAATGTGGTGGATTTTTACCATATCTGAGACGCTCCCTTTTCTGTTTTATTTTAACTCTAATTAATTAAGCTGATCAAAAGAATATTTTCATAATTTTATTTGATCTGCAAATTTCAGTTATCCTCTGATATTTAAAAAGTAAATTGCCTGAAGCAACTTATCAAATGTCATAAACCTGGTGATTATATCTCATGTATTGTTGCTTCTGGTTTAAAGTCTCTGTACAATTTTCATTCTTTGTGATGATTGATGTGTTTTGGCCCCACTATAATGTGAAATAAAACTGAGAATATGAAGTACTTAAAAACATTGCATTGGTTTGTGTGTGCTGATAAATGTTTTCTTTTCTCCAACAGGACAATTTGTCTTTCCCACTTATATGTCCAGACTGGAATGCAGATGAAGAGATTTTACTTCTAGAGGTATATGTATTCATCAAGTGAATAAACTTGACCTTCTGAATGCTGTCTTTATATTTACTTAATGCTTTTTTTTTTGTAAAATTGATGATACTTATTGATTATCTGAGTGTCATTGCATCTGATGTTTAGGCTGTGATTTTTTCTTATTTTTAGGGCATTGAGATGTACGGATTTGGGAACTGGGCTGAAGTTGCAGAACATGTTGGAACTAAGAGCAAGTCACAATGTATTGACCATTATAATGCCATATATTTGAGCTCTCCTTGCTTCCCTCTCCCGGTATGCTAATATGATAATCTAGATTTTGCCACACCTATCGCATAGTAGTAATGACAGTAATGTCTTTCATGTATTCTGGCTCTAGGACCTGTCTCATGTAATGGGAAAGAGCAGAGAAGAGCTCCTTGCTATGGCGAAAGGGCATGGTGAAGTCAAGAAAGGTTAGTTTTATGTTGATTTTTTCTTGGAGATTATACTCTTTAAGTTCAGCAACGAACACTTTTCTTGTTTATTGGACTGTCGGTTATTTCCTTATGTCCATTGCTTTGTATCAATAATTTATCAAAAGCCATAAGATGCATTTCTTACATATTTACTTGGTATGAAGATGCTGGATTTTAATTTTCTTTTTCTACAGAACTTACAACTGTTGGTGAGGTTACCATGAATGAAGAGTCTTCCTTCTCTCCTAGAGTGAAGTATAACTACTTTCATCATTTTACTTTCATTTCAGATCCACTGTTTCTATTTGCTTACTTCTTTCTATGTGCTTAATCAGATCTGAGACATTGAAAAAAGAAGATCCAGCTCATCAGTCCTCATCTAGCTTGACTATCGGTATTTTGATCAATACTACTTTTGTCAATTTTATTGTCTGTTGGACTTTCTGTTTGATAAAGTGCATGCATTAACATGCTTTTCTCCTTTTTACTAGAGGCAGGCTCCCATATGCATTCAAGCAGTAGTAACACCTTCTCAAGTACAGTTAAGAAGGCCTTAAACATACCCCAAATTAAGGACAGCATAAAAGCAGAAGGTATGCTTTCACAATTTATATTGTAGTGTACAAGACATCAACTTGGGCTGCATTCATGGTGTAAAAACTCTAGGTTACTCAGCTGCATATCAGTACATTTGACTGATATTCATCATATAATTGTACTGTGCGACTGGCTTTGTTTGTGGGAAGCATTCTCTTGTAGTTAGACAACATAACTATTTCTGTAATTTTGACTTTCTACAAAGTATCTGTTTCCGACGTTTACAAATTCATGTGATGCTTTTTATATTATTATTGGCTAGGATTTTATTGCTGCAAGCTGTTGTGGACTTGAAATAATTTTTTTAGTCGGTCTAATATGGGAATTGGGTTGATATTAATCCCAGATTGTTTACTCAAAAAGGAGGGGGGTAAAAGTGAAGCTTAAGTCATTTAATCGTTTTAATCAGTTGATGGAGAAGAGTATTTTGTTTCACTTTAAGAGGAATAGGCTTAATATATATATAATTTTTTTATTATTATTATTATTATTATTATTTTTTTTTTTTTGCAGAACCTCTGTCGGACAGGAGCATTGGAGAGAAAAAACCTAGAGTTGCAGGGGATGAGAAGCCTTCTATGACAGAATTGAGTGGCTATAATTTCAAAAGGCAGGAATTTGAAGTTGAATATGATAATGATGCAGAGCAGTTACTGGCAGATATGGAGTTCAAGGACACTGACACTGATGCTGAGCGTGAATTGAAACTGAGAGTGCTGCGTATTTACTCCAAAAGGTAGCTATGTAGGTACCTAGATGTGACATTTTTTTACATGAATACAAGGGCTGGCCAAGGAGCGCTCTATCTTATACTTAACCCAGAAATATAACATTTAGATATAGAAAAAAAAAAAATGAAATTTATACATTAGGTTCTGAAGAAATATATATAACCTAGCCTGTTAAGATATAGTGGCTTGACTGTAGATCTGTAAGTAGTTCTTAAAGACTATATTACCGACCCACAGATTTAGATACCACATATTTGAGGATTCAGATTCTCTCTGCTCTTGGAACTCCCATGACTCTTAATGTGAAAGTCAAGTATGGTAGTGGATTTAAGTCGCCAACTATATTTTTTTATAGTGTTTTTGTCACTGTTTCAGACCAAAAGCTTGGAGATTTATTTGGTTGAATTTTTGAAATCTCAATTAGCATAAATTCACCAAGTTCAAAATTTTTAAGATACACTAGATTTAAGGTGTAATTGCAGGGTGTAATTTGTTATATTTTAGCCTGTCATATTTTTACCCTTGTTTTACTGTTTTAAAACTGAAGTGTTTATAGTAGTACAATATAGTGTTAAGTTTTACTCTCTGATTAGTTTGTGATATCTTAAGAAAAAATAAAAAATTGCATCAGATTATGACTAAGTGGAACCACTGTTTTTCATGTTAGTCATAACATTATCTTAAAATTTTATTTTAATTTTCTTGTTCAGTTGTTTTTATTTTGCCATAATTTTAATGCATTTGGGGACTTCTTGACAGGCTAGACGAGAGGAAACGCCGGAAGGACTTCATAGTGGAAAGAAATTTGCTATACCTTGATCCTTTTGAGAAGGATCTCTCACCTGAAGAGAAGGAAATATATCAGCGTTTTAAGGTCTTTATGCGGTTTCATTCTAAAGAAGATCATGAGGAGTTGCTGAAGAGTATTATCGAGGAACACCGAATTGTCAAAAGAATACAAGACCTTCAGGTTTGTTTGTACCTCACATAATCTAAGGGTAATGAGTTAAACTCTTATGAAATTCCTCTTTCTGCTGAATATTGCTGATAATTCATACGAAGTTGCCCTGTATGAGAAGTGAGCTATATACTAAAGTTAAAAAAGAAATGACAATCACTTAGGTTTTATTCTTGAGATCTTTTTATTTGAGACCAAATAGGATATGGAGCCATTGTCTCTTTACTGTTTCCCATTTCCAATTTTAATCTGTAGTAGGCATTTAAACATTGGGCTATATCTTGATTATAGCAAAAATAGTTTTTTTTTTTTTTTAAATGGAGAAGAATTTTGGGGCCTTAATCTTGTCGACTGTTTAAGCAGTGGTTGGAATTGTAGCTTTCACATTAAGCATTTTTATTGGCTTTAAACCGGTGAAGATGTTAATAATCAAGAAAGTTATGGGGACAAGCTCAGGCACATCTTACTGACCTATGCATTTATGATAATTCTGTACGGAATGGAATAAGATCATTGAATTCACATTAAATATGTTATGCAGGAAGCGCTAGCTGCTGGTTTTCATACCTCTGCTGAGGCAAATAAATTTCTTGAACAGAAGAGGAGGAAAGAAGCTGAAGAAAATGCCCAGAGAGTGAAAAGCAGTAGCCAGGCAGGTCCAAGTGGAAAAGTATTGCAAAGACCAAATAGTCTGAAGGGTGAAGTTGATGTCAGCCCTTGTGGAGTTGTAAGGGGATCCATGGCTTTGCAGCCTTTTGGCAACGTTTCTCCCTCAACTATGGCAAGCTCCTTAGATGACTGGGACATCTCTGGTTTCGTAGGCGCCAGTTTACTCTCTGAAACTGTGAGAAACTCCGTTCCTAATTTCCAACTGTTTTGCATACTCACCAAGTTAGTTAAATTTAATTATCATATGATACAAATGTTATCTTAAAAAGAATCCCCCTGGTTGATGATAGAAGCAGCACTAAGTTTTACGGAAAGTCTTTTTATTGTGAATGTGTTTGAACTTGTATATTGTGATGTTATGTGCAGGAAAAACAGCTTTGCGGTGAGATAAGAATACTACCCTCACACTACTTAAAGATGTTGGAGATCTTATCAGTGGAGGTAATGAAGGGCAACATTAGCAAGAAATCAGATGCCCATGACTTATTCAAGGTTGAAGCAAGTAAAGTGGACAGAGTATATGATATGCTAGTGAAAAAGGGTATTGCCAAAGCATGATTAGAAGTGTGTGATGTACAGTAGAGTAGAGTAGAGTACAGAGTTAAATTTTATTTTCTTATTGGAAAGGAAAGAGGCTATAGCTATAGCTAGCTATAGCGTATGATCACTTATTAGTCAGTAAGCAATGTTTCAGATTCTCTTTCTTCAAAACAATAGGGGTGCGGTTGTCTTTGATTGGGCCCCAGACCTATGGCTACGTTTTTCAAGTTGCCTTGTCTTTACAGCTAACGTATAAAGTGCAGGTAGTTCAGAAACTGCAATCTCATTTAATTACTCAAGTACAGTTTTGCGTAAGACACACCAACTTGTTATGACGTTACTGAGAATAATATCCATCCCTTTTTGACGCAGAACCAACTCCAAGTATAAAATAAAGAAAGAAAAACAACCAAAACATATAATAATAATAACAACACTAGGGGAAGTAAAGAAGAATGCATATTCAATTTTATTGTTAACAAAAGAAAGAAATTAGAAATGCAACAAATACCCACCTAGAAACTACAAACGAACAAGTGCAGCAAAAGGTCAGTCAAACTGCATAAGAAATATTTAAGATACAATTCAACAAAAAGGCCTGCCTGCATTGTTAAGTCAAATAAACCGAACCAGTTCCCTAGATTCTCAGTCAAAACAGCGTATCAAATCAATTCGCACACGCTCCATCTCCACCTCCATCTCCATTCATTTTCTAAATTAATACTATTATTAAAATTAAAGTACACTCTTTAGTCCGATAAAGTTAAACCTGACCCAGATTCTCTTTTTTTCTTTTTTCGAACCCTACTCATACCCATACCCCTTCTCTACTGTGCTCCGAAATCCCACAAGTGTATACTTGTCTCACTTGATGCTGCCACGTGTCTATCATCTCCCACAAATGCGTTCACTTCTCCTATTCTCTCCCTAAAAGTGTACAAATACTCCCCTTCCTCTATTTCCCATACCCTTATCACACCTCCTGCGCACATTAGGGCGTACCCTAAATTCATGCACCCCATTACGTTTCTTTGACCACCCCTTAACCTTAAGCTAAACCTACACACTTCCTCTAACGTGTCCACCCTGCGCACTATAGCCAACCCACGACCATCCACGACAATATACGCCTCGCAGTTAACGTCAACCGAGGTCACAATTACCCCTCTCATGTACTCTTGATTACTCATCACCCCTTCGTTGGGGTTTCTCAAATCGAAAACCATCACACGTGAACTTGTGCATGCCACCGCTGAGTCCTGACTCGTCACCCTCACTCGTCCCACAAACTCGGTGAACTCAGCTAACATTCGCCAACCCATCACTGTGTTTTGGTCGGTCAAATCCCCACCGACAAACGTTAGCACTTCAGTTTGACCATCCCAAATGTGATAGGCCTGCCCCGCTATCCCTGCGTACAAACCCACCCAGTATCTTTCGCATCCCGTGAAGTCCACCAGCACCCCGTCATCCACCACGTTACCAAAGTGAGCTCTACGGGGTGGGTTCGCCACGTCATTTATATTTGCCACGTGGATGTCTCCGTCCAGCGTGGCGAATATTAGTTGGGCGTCCGTGATGATTATACCTGACACCGCACGCGAGAACCGGCCTAAGATATCGCGATGGTGGGGCCGGAAGGTGCTGACGTGGATACGAGTAGCCAGGGAGAATAGACGAACTGTTCCGTCAGCAAACCCACATGCCAAGTAAAGGTCAGAGAGTGCCAGGCAACGACACGTCAACCCATCCGGGCTATCCACATCAGACGGGTCGAAATGAAGAATTGCGTGGGTATATCTACGCGTTCGAAAATTATCCATTGTCCGATGACGATAGATGTACTCATCTCTCCACGTTGCATGCATGAGATGGGTCCGGCCCCATATGTGTTGAGTTAGGCGGCGCCATAGGAGATCAGAGCGAGAGACAGCACGCCACGTGGAACATACCTGCATAAAAAACAAACAAGGCACTAAGTTTATTAAAAAGTAATGAAAAAAATAGATATAGATATTAACCAAAGAAGAGTGTTTAAATACGTTCTGTTTAGATCTTAGAAATAAAGAGTTAAATATGATGTTGAAATTTGGACGGTTACTAAATGAAGACCGACATGGAAATAGAAGTAAGGAAGAAAATGACAAAGGTAGATCGTAGATGCGCGTAAAGGGCTTTAAATGTGAGAAACTTGAAGCAGGAAGCAATGGCAGGCAGTGGCAGAGGCAGGAGAGACTAGGGACCAGAGAAGAGAAGAGAGAGACGAAAAAATAATGACAAAAGGAGGAGAGAAAAGCGATACATCGAAGTGGATGCGACTTGTGTTGTCTTGTAGCATAGACTTGCAGTGGTACAACAGCCTCAACATACATCCTACTATCAGGGAGACTGTGACAGCTATGTCATGTCTTTTTCATTTATTTATATTATATATAAATTAGTATTACTATTATTATCATTCAATTGAAATTCAGGTCATAAGATAAGGTACAGCAAGTACAAACAACATCTATTATAAACAGTACAATATACATAAAAAAGAGAGATAATGATGTTCTTCCTTGATGCCAAAAAGACAAAACCATGCAGGAGCAGGACTCTTCGTTCTGGTTCTGGTCCTGCTCCTAATTCAGTTTCTTCAGGGAAGGAAGCCAATGTTGTGGGTTTAGTTGAAGAGCAACGATACAGATATTTTTTATGAGACAACAATAAAAGGACAGAGACTCTTATAGCTAGCTAGCTGTGGTCCTGGTCCATATAGTTTTTATTTTTTGAGTTTATATAATCATTCAAAATCGTCTTTTATATTATATATAACTTATAAGAAACAACAAGAAGCAAGAAACAACGAGCGTGCTTTTCTATCTCTCTCTTTCATTTCCAAGAAAGAGTTGGCAAAGACCTGTCTCGTTAAAAGCAGAGAATCTAGCTCTATTACCTTCACCAACTACCCATTTCTGCCATACTTGACTCTCTTCTCTCAACTTCCGCTTCCAACATACTGCTTACTACCACCACTATCTTTTCATCTAATATTTCTTCTACACTAATACTTTATTAATTTAATTTTCCTTGTAACAAATGTTGTGGCTCTGGAGTGCATATATATATATAGACACGAAGTGAGTAGTAATAGTATTAGAGACAGAAGATAAAAACAAAAAAGAAGTCACCAACTGTGGCTCTGGGCGGGTTAATGCAATGAGAAGAGGTTAGCAGTGAAATGACAAGGAGACATGAGGCTTTGGTGGCAGCATTGGGCTCCATGTGCTTTTTGGCATTGCACATGCTGCCTTTTGACTGATGCTTGAATAGAACAATCAACTACTGAGATCTCATGGATTAGAATGTCCAGAGAAAGCGACGTTAAGACCGAAAATACAGAAAGAGATTTTTCTTTTTTTCTTTTTTAATATATTAATCCATCACTACCTTACCTTTCTCTTCTCTTTCTATTTACTTTTGACTTCAATAACTCTGCATGCTTCTTCTTATACTGTTTTTAACCTTTTTATTTTAATAATCTAGCACTACTTTTTCATTCATCAACACATTCATTTGAATATGATTATACTGGGAATTGTTCTAAAGTAGCACTGTTCCTTATCTATTAATGCCAATGGTACTTATTCTCTAAATAACCCAAAATATAAAAACTAATGTTTGTTTTTTTTTAAAAAATTAAAAATTAAAAATTTCAAGCTAGTTTCACTGCTACTCTACGTTTACACAAGTCTTCTTCTCAATAAAGCCTGCATTAATTACATGGAACTGCCACAATTAATCACCCAGCAAAGAACTCAAGCATATGCCTGCAACTTCTTGTGAATTTAATCTCAATATAAAAAATTTAGAATTAGAGAGACATCATTCATTGCATGGAATAGCAGCTAGCATGAAGCAATGCAGGCATATGTACTTTGAAAAGAAGCAGAAGTTCCTTATAATAAATGCTAAATATTAACCTAACATGAACAAAGTAAGACATACAACTGAGTCTTTCCTTGAATTGTGGTGTATGCTATATACTTGCTTGCCAAACCAAGATAGGCTTTAAGGGTCTCTATCTGCATTTCTAGTGTAGGAAAAGAAAAGTATTCCACTATATACAATAGGGAGAGAGAGCTAAGAAAGTTGAGTCAAAAAGTTGGAGATTCTAAAGCCTTAGAAAGATCATGCCAAGAAAGGGAAAAAGAGATTTGAATCCAAAAGACTCCTTTTTCCTCTACTTATAAAAAGGGATCCAAATATAGGTATTTCTAAGTGATGAAAAGGAAGGAAAACTAACATTTGCAAGATTAAACTACCCCTTCTGAAAGTGACATAAATTTGTGTTAGAAATGGACCCATAAAAAAGATACCAATCTCTTCCAAACGAAAATTTCTCCTTGGATGCTCGTCTATATATATATATATATATATTCAAGGCATTCACAGATCACAATATCAGTAAACCAGCTTGCATTAACTCCCTTCTCCAATAAAATCCATTATCTGAGTTTTCGTGTTTGTAAAATAATAATAAAGAAAAGCTTCACTGTAAAGTAAAAAACAACATGTTGACTAGAGCAAGATTTTGTCCATTTCCTGAAGGATATCCAGTAGCTAATTAGTGTACGGGTTCCATGGTCTACCACTACACCCATGTGATTAAGAAAGAAACCTCAAAATTATCGCTAACCCAAATAAAATCTGAATCAATAATCATCAAAATCATTCAATTCTCTGCGCATAATGTAAAAACGAAACATGGTTTTGTTTCATATTATATACTCAACTCAAAACATATGCAAGAGAACAACAGAGAGACAACATACCAGAAAGACATTGGTAAGAGCAGCAGCAGCTGCGAGGCGACCAATATTGCGAGAAGCATCAATGGCCACATGGGCTGCCAGAGCCTCCACAAAAGGCTCAGGCCAGACCTCACTAATGGCACGTTGACGAGACGATGAAGGCCCTTCGAAATCACCCCCTCTTCTTGCACCCTGGTAACCTACACCACCGCCATTGCCATTGCCATCTTCTGAAGAAGAAGATGATGATGAAGATGAAGAAGAAGATGACATTAGTTAATAACAGGTGAAGGAAGCTATAAAGGAGAAGCAAGAAATGGGCTACAAAGAAGCAAGGACAAAAAGGTGTAGATAAAGACACAAATGAGGGACCCAAAACAAGTGTGTTTGGGATTCTAGGAGATATATATGACACAGTGAAACTTTAATTAATGTGCTATGATATATTATAATACAAAAGTATTTATAATAATATAAAAATATATTTGAGGGTTTTTAGTTTTTCTTATACAGGAGGTTTTCCCGCCCTGCAAACTGCAAAGACGGCGGGTGAAGTTGGTTCCAGGTTCCATGTGAGAGACTGCTATGTTTTTCAGCTTCTTTTCAACAAGTTTGCTCTTTGGTCCAACTTTCGTACTCTCTTTTCAACATCAGAAGATCAATATTACTTACAGAAATTTTGGTTTGTTTCATCTTAATTTGGTGATGTTTATTGTTTTCTATATCATAATTTAACACCATAAATATGAAGTTATAGTGTGAGAAAAAAAATACTCAAATGGGTTCAATATTTGTTTCCTCGTAAGGACTCCATATTTGTTTGTTTCATAAAGAATTTGATCCATAAATGGTATTGGTAGGTGTTCACATTAACATATATGGAAGGTACATGAAATAGGCAGGCCAAATGTTTTGATACTTGAAGAAGAGAAATTTGACGGGTACGTAGCTAGATAACCGAATTCTACAATGGGTAAAGAATAACATAAAGTATGCTTATGTTGCACAGCTTCATTTGAAGTGTCTTGTTTCAATGAATTTAAAAGTAATCCATTCCTTAATTAAAAACATATCAGATATCCATATATAACCTATTATTCCTCAAATCAGTGATCATATCGACATGCTTACCAGTCTGCTCTAAACTGGGTAACTTGATAGTTGATATTGTAGGATGAATATAATTTGGGAAGGTAAAAACATGGAGTTAAGAGCAAAACGTGATGGATAAATTATAAATGAAGCGTGAAGTTGCTGTCCCTCATGTTTGTGCCCCAATTAGAGTGCATATATATGATTCGTGATGATGATTCGCCTTGCACAGTTTATGTAAAATCTATAGGAAAACAAAAAAAAAGCACTGATCGCTATTGCTTTAGATGGAATTAGTAGGATGAGTGATTATAAATATTAAATACCGACAAAGCCCTACACTGCGGAGGAAATTAAGAGATATTCAGCAATGATTTTCCAGTTTCATGGCTGAGCAAAAGAGATTATGTATCAGTATCAGAAATGGAGGATGAACCCATCAATGGAATTTAGCTTAATTAATTATATATATATATATATATATATATATATGTGTGTGTGTGTGTGTGTGTGTGTGTGTGACGTCTGTTTACACAGTTAGCTAGGTAGCTTAATTAAGTATATTAAATGTTGTTATTTGGTCGGTGACATAGGTGGTTAAGAAGCACAGACACAGACAAATATCGAAGTTCTGTAGTAATTTGACATTTTGATGAGTCTTATTGTCATGTCCTTTTTAAACAAGCTCCATTTCTTGACTATTCAATTCATCTCGAAACATGCATAATTATCTTGTCTTACTCAATGTACACTTGATAATTAATTTAAACCATTTCTTTAAAAATTCTTTCTTCTTTATTAAGAAAAAGGACCTTGAAAGTGCCTTTAATATTATCAACAATATATTTCATATAATTGTTTTACCTATATTATCAAGTTTAGTATTCTAAGAATATGATTAAAAAAATGAGAGTAAGATGAACAATTTTAATAAAAGAAGCAGGGTGGGCCAAGCATAATATGCAGAACGAATATTAATTAATTAAGATAATAATAAAAGTGTAAAAATCATTCTATTTTAATTTTGTGTTATTGTTTGTGATTGGAAGAAGAAGGGGGGAACGTAAAGGTTCTCTTACAGAAGTGAAGTACAACTTCTCATTCAACTCAACAGTACTGTTTCTAATAACAACGACAAAACTCACAGGTACTTGGTCCTACCACTCTACCCTTATTAATTTTATAATTAATTAAGTACTAACTAATAAATGCCTTTAATTAATGTCAAACACTTTTATTAATTTACCATCTTTAAAGTTCATTTATTGAAGGTTCAAACCACCTGTAAATTTTAAAAATATGACATAACTCGCAATTTGATGTTAATTATCCACTTATTAAAACTTAAATTGCAAAAGTGATTTATTTATTTCTTATCCTGACTGTAAACTAGTCATTACTTCCTAAATGGACTCCTCGATTTCTGGGCCAGATTAACAAAGCAAGTCCAAAACGGTCAATTTACGTTCAAAATTATCTTGGAAAAACTGAGGAGTTGTGCTTGGTTAATTCAGGAAAATGGCAACAGGATTATATGTATGCTCATTATAGTCTGTTCCTTATTTGATTTATCAAAGTCTCTTTGGAACAGTATGAAAGTAAACCATGTAAAAAATAATAATAACAAGGGTTAGTTGTTAAATGTATATTTATGGAGGTTAGGTATGTTGTGGAGCTTAGTCAAATCCTTTCCCTACTCTGACCTAGCTTGCGTGCATCGAGATCCATTTGAACACTTTACGAACCATAGCTTGCGTGCATCGAGGTCCATTTGAACACTTTACGAACCAAAAGATCAGGTAAACCACAATATTATTGTGGTAGATGGCCATAAGATTTAAACTCAAAAACTCAAGAAAATGAGTAATACGTATTTGACTAAGCTCCACAACATACCTAACCTCCATAAATATACATTTAATAACTAACCCCTTTTTTATGAACCCTTGCATACATTTGAAGCAACTTCCAAATCCAATACGTTGTTGTTGCTTAGGCCTAAAGAATTCTGAAGTATCCCTTAAGTAAATGAAATTAATGATCGATGCTCCAAACATAAAAATTCTAGTTTTAATTGCAATGTCCTTATAGGCTTCAAATATGTATTTTAATATAAATTTGGGTTATGTACACCTGTCTCTTTGTTTTTTTACCTTATCATATATCTGACAACTTAAGTAATCACAAATTCACAATAACCATCTACATCAAAAAAAAAAAAAAAAAAAAAAAACCTAGAACAGTTCTTCCTTAACTTGAACAAGAATGTTTTATCAAAGAATTTAAGAAGATTCAATCTTAAATTAAATATATCTTAAGAAGACTCATAAATAAAAAATTCTAACAAACCATTCTCATAAGAGAAAATCCAAATTTATTCAATGCAGTAAGTAAAGAAGTGAGCAAACCGATACATATTTCAACTTACAAAAGGTACAAAGATGACTTCAATAATATAAACACGCCAAGGAAACTTGTACGCATGCAATTGCAGAAAATCTCATCACAATTTATTAGGAAAACTAGATATTACACACCATAGATTGATGATCAAACTTTATTCATTAGTTCTTGGAAGGTGTTCATGGCACTAGCTGGCAAACCCAAAATCAGCTTGACACCCTCCGTCTCTTTTATTCCCGCGGGACTAAACAAACACACTTCTTTCGGAATCACTACACTGCCAAACTGTGATGCCTCTCCCCATCCAAAATCTGCAGAGTTGAACGCAATTCTAGTCCATGATGTGATCACAAGCGTTCCAGTCAAAGAAGGCGGCGGTATTGTTATGCTTATATTTTCAAAAAAATCATTATATGATTGGACATAATCTTCGTTAACTTTCTTAATAGCATTTTGCACCATTTTTACTGCAAAAGAAAACGGGTTTTCACTCAGTTCACTTGCAGTGCAAGTGCACTCACTTGTTACTACCCCGTTGCCAAAAAAACCTTTTGGCAATGGTGTATTAAGCTTGGATCTTATGTCAACAGTGAACAAAAGCCTGCTTTTCTGATGGGGTTCCATTTTCAGAGTTTGGTTTCGTGCACGCCACACTAAAGCTGCGAGTACTGTGAAGCTTGAGCAGTATTTTAACCCTTCATCCTCCTCCATTGCTTTTTTCTTTAGCTCTGCCAACTTGTTTTGATCAAAACTGAATGATTTGTACACCGTGTTCTCTTTTTGGTACTGGCTTTCCAGGTTTGACACGTCACTTATATCAACTATATTGAACTTCTCTGTGGGGCTTTTGTCGAGGGGAGGTCGTTTCCCGGACATAAACATAGAGTTATCAAGAACTGGTGGGGTGGTTAGTGGTACGCCTCTTGCTTTTTCTGCCCATGAATTCACAAACTCCATCCCAGCTTTTCCATCAGCTACGCAGTGGTTCATTGTCAACCCCAAGGCAAAACCACCGCACTTGAACCTTGTCACCTGTAATTTCATAAAATTTCAACATAATTGTTAAAGACCAATTCACCACGTCAGGATTCTAACTTTAACACTATATATGATTAAAAAAGAAAAATATGTTAGCATAATTACGAACCTGTACGGTCATCAAAGGCATTTCTAGTATGTTTTCAACTCCAGGGACTTCGTAAATAAACTTCTCGAACTTTGGAGTATCAGGAACTGTGATGTCACCAAGCTCGACGATGCTGAAATTCGCAATTGCTTCAACAAATGGCACCCCTTCGGTATCAATGCACTCAACGAAAAGCTTTCCATCAGAATTTGATTTTAGTCGCCCGGCAAGTGGATAATAATAAACTAAAACTTTAGACAAGGCTTGTTTGATCACATCACAAGCAGCTTCACTACTCGTCTTGCCGTCTAGATTGTAAATGTAAATGGTTTTCATCATGGCGACGACAGCGCGGTCTAGATTGGACAACAGATGCGTCCCGTTATAAGGTTTTTTTTCAGGTTGGATAAATATGGGTTCCAAACTTTTTACAGATATCAGACCACCATTTTCCTGATTTGATACCTCCATATTGCAAGTCCTTACAATTACTGTACGCTCTGTGTGTATGTGTTAAGTGTGAAATTACACTATGAATCCCTTTGAGCAAAGAAATTGTTGCTTGTGCTTTCTATTTATACATCACAAATACCTGATTTATATCAACATCACGAGCAGGTATACGTCTCATTCTTAAAGGGTAGGATATTTA